GCCCTGGTTAGGAAAGATCCTCGAACGAGAGCTGTTCCGTTTCACCACCACCGCCGTCGACTAGGAGGTGCAGACCACCGGCGCCGGTGCCTTGGGGCAACTCGCCTCCGCCGGAGACACTAACCTCGACCTTGCCAGCATAACCGAGATCGACACACCAGCAGACGAGCAGGCTACCCGTTCGGGAGCGCGCACGCCCACGGACAACGGGGCACTTCAGCAGCTCCTGCAGTATTTGAAGCCATCCCCAGAGGAGCCTACCACCTCAGCCACCTCCCGGCAGCGCGTAGCCGTGCGAGACATTCCCAGCCATGGGATCAGCCGGGCAGCCGGACAGTACAAGTACCCACAACGACCGACCGTTGCGGGTGTGGCCGCAACGTCGTCGCCCAGACCCATGCAGCGAGTAAGGCCTCTGCCCACCACCGCAACGTGGCGCTGACGGTTTCACCACCCGTCGATAGAGGACGAACCCACAGGACCGGCCGATGGCCCATCAGGCATCCTGCGGAACGCTCCTCGACGCCGCATAGCACCATGGCCCGAGGTCGAGGCCATCACCCATGAGGAGTCACCCCGGAACCGGAGGCCCAGATGCGCGCCCCGAAGGGATGGACCACCACCAATGGATGGATCCCGGTAGAGCTTCACGACCGGATCCAGGAGCGCCTCCATCAGAAGGGAAACCGGGACCTCCGCTTCTTGGTGTAGAGTGAGGAACGAGGTACCCGATCCAGGTGACGTGAGGCGGGCACCGGATCAAGATCCTACCACACCCCCGTCAAAGGGATGGGATATGAGATAGCCCTCACGCGGTCCCGCTTCAGGTACATATGCTTAGTTAAAAGTAGTCAGTAAAATAGGATTTGGGTTAGATTAAGGCTTAATTTAAGACCCACGGAAGGCACTTAGGCTTACGTTAGTTAGGACAAAAGTTACATAGATAGCTAAAGCATAGGTTTCATCACAAAAACCGCCTCGAACAGATCAACGTCACACAGAGCCAAGCCATCATCGGCAGAGCCATTATACCGGCAGAGTCCTGCACACTAGTCAGGACCACCTAAGATACACAGCCAGGACACACACCGACGATTACATAAGAGTCTCCTGGATTTCCTACAGGAAGAAGAACGAACTCGAGGCTATCCTTCTCGAGCTTGGCATGGAACAAAACGGTACGGTTGACGAGCAGCGGGCCCGACTGTACGCGTTCGCCAGACAAACAGAACACTCCGAGATACCCTGATCCGGCTCGGAAAAATTGTACGCAAGTACAGAAACACTAAGCCACCATCGCCGCTACCGCCCTCCCACGAAAAAGGACCAAGCAGCAGCCACACGCTGACCATACGACGCATCAATTCCCGTTCCCAGGGATGCGAGGAAGATTCAAAGGCACAGCACGCGCCAGTGGGTCCCAGTTTGGTGCAGGCATCTGCTCGATGTTGGTTGACAAAGTGACCAAATGGGGACTGTCCTTCGATGGCACCTCCGACCGGGCGGACTGGGGGTATCTATCCCACGCTATCATCATCTTCCTTACTGGCCGAGCGGAGAGTTGGTTCCGAACCAGTGATCTGCAGGGACGGACCTGGGCCGAAGTTCGTCGGGAATTCCTGGACTTCTTCCTACCGCCCCGGTATTATCAACGCCTCGACGACGAGATCCGCTCGCACTTCCAAAAGGTGAATGAGCCGTTCAAGGAGTACCTAGTAGATCTTCGCCTTCAGATGCGCCGCGCTGGATTCTCACCAGAGCAGGAATTGGAACGGGACTACGAGAACATGCTGCCCGAATATCAGATGCTCACCCGTCGCCAAGATTTTAACTTCGAAGTTGCCCGTAGCCGCTTATGCCGAACCGTCGGTGGATACCTATTAACAAGCCCATACGCCGAGTATCCATCGCACAGCAGTCTCACGACCCATGGCGAACCCTGACCCTTACACGGAGAAGGGAATAAAAGGGAGCAGGAGTTATGATCAGTAGGTTCCTTGTGATTTGACCCGGGCCAGTTTTCCGACCAGAAATAAATGTTCAATAAGAGTACTTATTCGTTTCGACTTCCAAATCAGAAAGAATTCTTTATTTTCATATCCCTTTGCTCACCTTTGTGCTGACCTAGCGGAATAAAAGTGAAACCGGACCGGATGCATGTTGTTGTCCGTCTCGGTGCGGCCCAGTTGTTTATGTTTATTTGGCAACATAGTTGCCGGCCAGCTCTGTTTCTCGAGTGGCTGCCGGAGGGGTTACGGCGGGGGACCGCAGAGGGCCAATACTGTGGCGGTAACTCTCGCACGACGCTAATCTATCGCGGGATGCTCTTTACGCATTTTTATACCAGTTACTCGTAGAGTAAAAGGGTATACTAGATTCGTTGAAAAGTATGTAACAGATAGAAGGAAGCGTTTGCTACCGTGTAAAGTATATATATTCTTGATCAGGATCAATAGCGAAGTCGATTGAGCCATGTCCGTCGGTCCGTCCGTCCGTATGAACGCTGAGATCTCAGGAACTATAAAAGATACAAAGTTGAGATTAACCATGAATATTCTTGAAGTGCCGGGACAGCGCAAGCTTATTACATAATCCTGCCACGCCCACTATAACGTCCACTCTAACGTCCACTCTAAACCGCGGAAAACTGTGGCGTGTATAATACTATTATGAATGCCTTCGTTTGACCTTGTGTAACTTATTTCTGTTAATATCTATCGATTTACCAAAGACTTCAAATCGGAACATTAATTCACTATTTATAAAGAACTTAAGGTTATAAGGCCTCGCATGGGCAGTGACGTCACTATAAGCATACTCAACATACTTCCTCTGACAATAGGTGGCGCCTTGTGAATTTCCACTAGCAAAATTAATATTTTAAAATTGTGTAAAACAGTAACGTCGCGGCACTCGACTATAGCGTTTCCTCTTGTTTATACTTATAAACATTATATTACATTAAATATATCAACCCGATAATATATTAAAGGTAAATTTGTGATGCTTGTGGATGCTGGTATGCATAACGGAGTAAGTAGACAAGTTGTGTGAGAAATAAGAATTTACTGAGTTTTCTAATTGCATTGTTATTTAAAGTGGTGTGTTGCGCGCGCAGTTCTCTTTTAACACTGTTCAACATTAAAGCTGAATCGGATGCTCCGACTTTGGAGCATTTGGTCAATTTACATCCAAACCGATTTCAATCCCTGAAATCTTAGGAGCCATAAGAGATACAGAGTTGAGATTAAACAGGCAGATTCTGTTCCATACGCAGCGCAAGTTTATTTCATCTTGCCACGCCCACTTTGACGCCCACAAACCGCGGAAAACTGTCGCGTCCATAATATTATATTTTATGTCTTCGTTTGACCTTGTATATTTTGTATTGTATTTTTGTATTTTTTTTTGCAATATCTATCGATTTACCAAAGATATAAGGTATCTTATAGTCGCGGCACTCGACTATAGCGTTTCTTCTTGTTTATTTGAAGAAGCGGCTGGAACAAGTGCAGGAACCACGGATAGCTTTCAGGGATTCGGATTCTGTGATTGTGAGCCTAAACGGATAGTCTGATTCGACCTAACTACGCCTGTTACCACTGTGGCGGCCATATTTTGCGTCGTTACACAACCTTTTTGGCCTTAGATTGCTACTTGAGGAAGGATATAGTAAACAGGGATAAATTATGTATCAATTGCTTAAGTAAGTCGCATGCTTTTTTGCACTGCACTAGTAATAAAGAGAACGCATATCGAAACCTCAGTGTTTTGTAAATTCAATGGTAGGTTGGATGTAGTAGGATGAATGCGCTGCTTGTTCACCATCCAAAAGAGTTTCCACAATTCCAGATGATGCAATGCATGCAATGGCTAGTTCAATATTATTTTGTGATCGTATGGTTCCCAAAATGAGCGGTAGAAGAAAAGTCTTGCAGTACAACTGGGCGCATCTGTAAAAAACTGTCCACGGCTTTGTTCTGGTATACGCAGTGCGATGATCTGAAACCTACTGCGGAAGATTTATTTGAACAGATACACTAAGTTCGACAGAATCAAAGTTTGTTACTCGTTGCAAATCACAATCGAGCAGGTCATTTGCTGATCAGCTTGGAGCAGTCATTTCCAGTTGCACCAGTGTCTTGTTGTCAACTAAAATCAATGCCTCGTTATACACGTTTGGTGTGAATAGATGACATAAATTTCAAAATTAACATAAATTCAAATTTAACTGTTTAAAAAGGGCTGCATGCTTCATTTTTAGAGAGTTGCATAAAAAGGCATTCCTGCTATCACCCAATTGCACAGCTCATCAGGACTGCCAACTTTAATCAATTTTCAAAATTTTCAATAAATTTTCCAAATGTTCAGTTTTGACCATGTACAAAAAATTTCATCAAAATCAGTTCGGCCGTTTACGATTCTATAGCGGAGATACATGGTGACATTAATTTTTATTCCGTTTTGTGGACCATTTGATTTATACTTTGCTTACACTATGATTGCGTCTTGTATATACCAAGTATTCTTTACGTAGTGGCTCCTATTAGAACCAGACAAGGGTTTGGCAAAAGACCTCACGTTTCTTCATTTGATTTCCGCAATCACGAACAAATAATAACAAAAACATTCAATTTAAAAACTTTCGGGTTACACACATATTTTTTTATTTAAATTTGGGAGGCCGAAATGTAATAAGCAACTAAATTCAAAAATTTTTGAAAAGTAAGTAACTTTTTATCTGCTTTTTAAATTTGCATATTTGAACTTTTTAAAGAACCCTTGTTAAAGAACCATCGTTAGCTTGTAAAGATGTAATTATTGTCGGTGGAATATTCGTGTTATCTAGATAGAAAATAGTTGCTACCTTCTTTGATCGTATATATTATATCTATCTCCCTATGAGTAGCTGATATGAAAAAACAAAATTGTATTTTATAGATATCAACCTTTTCTGTTAGGATGTGGTCTGTGCGCATATAGTATTAGAGTTGCATTCATTTATTAGCCCCATAGAAGCAACATATTTTGTCTGACTGGTGCTCTTTAAATCAAAACAAGTTTTATTAATCAGATGCTTATTTAAGTCTTCAAACGAATAAACTCCTATTGTGTAAAACTTACGTATGTAGATGATAATAAAGTAAAACAAAAGTCGCATTTAAGCGACAGCTGAAAGTAAAAAGTAAAATAATTAAAATACAAATGGAGTTACATCAACACACATCAAAATTGTTTGTCTGCTCTGCCGTTGATTGTAAAGATGAAATCGAAGAGGTGTGATCAATGAAATGTCATTGTATTTTCAATAGTCAAAATAATTTTTTTTTGTTTTAGAAATTTGAACGCTCGTTTATCAATCTGCAAATGCAAATTGTTGGACTTTGTGATAAGGAGATGCACGATCTATTGTCTCAAGTTGTGTGCAAAGACAAACAGTATGAAGAGATTTCAATAGGATTTCTCTACATAATGCTTACCGACCCTACTATGGCCCCCAAAACCTATCGCGACGTAACGCTCGTATCTAGGGACGGGATGAATGCAATTGTTTCAAACCTAACTTTGCTTGTTGCCGAGAAATATACTAAGCTGACGGAGATAGCACGAAGACAATTGATTTGGGTGTTACGGGAATTTGTAAAGCACCAGGTCCTTAATGTCGAAAATGTTATATGGAACTGCCTTCGACAGGCTGGTGGAGGAGATGCGTCACAAAAAAACCTTTACCTTGTCGAGAATCTTTTGGACATATTTATCGAATTTAGAACGTGGTTGGAAGGAAATCCATTCTTGGTTCAGTCTACAGTTTATAGCTACGTGCGCCTAATAGAAGACCATGCCAACCCTGCTCTAATGCCGCTCCGACAAAAAGAAGTAAAGTTTACGATATCGTTGATCCGAGAAAGGTTCCATGATATAATACCACTTGGAAGGGATTTTGTACGGTAACTGCAGATTTAAGCATATTGACAGTATTATTATGAGCTAATCTTCTTACAGCACGGATTTTACATAATTCCAATACTTATAAATTTGTTTTTATAATTACTTTAAAAAAATGTACACATCCTTTTTACGTAAGGTTGTAGCCTGGTCTGGCATGCCTAAACGGTCAGTGCACGTTTCCTTTTGGAAGTCGTTTAGCTCTAACAGTTACATATATATATGCTTATGTGTTCGAGCAGGACAAAAACGCTTTGTTTATTTGAATTCAATTTTTATTGGTACACATTTTCGTACCGTTAGCATTAACATAATCACAATTTCTAGAGACTACGCAGAAGTTTGAGTGTGTTGGTCGTGTTTTTTAATGCGGAAACAAACAAGATTTATTTTCAAAAAGACGCTTCCCACCTCTTGATTAAACAAAAACATCGACATGTTTAACTGAAAAAAAACATTCGAAAGTTAAGATAAAACATTCCACAAAATATCTTTTTTAAATGATTCTTTATTAATCTAAAATATTGTAAGAATAATTTTTGTTAAAAAAGCTGTCGATTTTTATAACTTACTCGTAGATTAAAAGGGTAAGTTCCATTTGTTGAAAAGTATGTAACAGTTAGAAGGAAGAGGTTGCGACCCTATACACTTCAGGATCGATAACCGAGTCGATTTAGCCATGTCCGTCTGTTCATATAGACGCTGAGGTCTGAGGAACTACATATAAGAGATACAAAGGTGGGATTAAATATTAGGATTCCTCGAGAGTTTATTTCAGCATCCTGCCGCGCACACTCTAACACTTACAAAACAGAAAAAACTGATTGCTGAATCGCAGAACACTCAGAAACTAAAGGAGCTAGAAAGGAGGGACTACGCATAATCTTCAGATGTCAGCGCATCTAAAAACAGTAGCCGGCTTCTTTAAAACACTGATTTTACGGTCACTATACGTTATAAAATGTTGGTATTAAGCATGTTGATTCTAATGATGCCCCCAATGCGTATTATTTTTTCCCCATCTGGCCATTTTAATGTCCATTCTAACCCTCATATCGCTAACTGTATCGTCCATAGTATTAAAATGTGTGTCTTCGTTTGACTTTGTATAACATTTTTAAGTCTGCACATAATTTATTCGTACACCCATGAGTGGCAAGTTTATTGCCTAATATCTCGAGAAATACGTAACGGAAATTAAAATATAATATCTGAAATGAAAGATACACATTTCGAGAATACATTTTAAACATAAAATTAAGAAATTTTAACTTTTATACTAGATAATTTTCTTAATAACACAAAAAAGTCATTTTTCACTCATTTCATTCGTACAGTTCTAATTTTTTACTTATATTTCTGAATCCAGCGGTAATCCGCGATTCTTTTTTGAACTGTACTTCGGAGCAAGCTACTATTCTCAAAGTTGTTCAGTTAGTTTCGCGGCTTTTTTTGCTGTAACTGGACAAAATGGGTAGGGGTCAAGATTTATCCCTACATTTTCGAAAAACTATAATAAGATTATATTTAGCAAACCGCAATTAACCCGAAATTGGTAGAAATATTGCCAAGTCATCTTCCACAACGCAAAGTTTGATAAAAAAAAATACGTAAAAACTGGAGAATTTGCAGTAGAACATAGAAAATCTTGAAGGAACTACATATTGACACCACGGGAGGAGCATAAATTTGTAAATACACCATTACAAAATCCCAGAATAACATCTACAACAATTCTTAAAACCCTAGAGAAGCCTTCGGAAAAAAAATTTTGAACCCAAACCATCCGGAACACCCTGCACAATGCTGGTATACATGGTAAAGTTGTTCGTAAAAACCCATTGATTTCTGATTATAACAAAAAATGCGTTTGGAGATCGCAAAAGTGCATGTAAGCAAGCCGGAATTGTTTTGGGAAAACGTTATATTTATTGACAAATCAAAAATTAAAAATTTTGGACACGACAGTCATATTAAAGTATGTCAAAAGGATAATTAAGCCTTGAAGGAAAAAACTTGATTCCAACTTTTAAGCACGTTGGATACAGTTAATAAATTTATGTATAAATACATTTTGGGACGAAATTTATTCTAAGTGCCCTTAAACTTGGAAAGAATCCAGCATATTTCGTATTTTAATAAGATAACGATTAGAAATATTTGTCGTATTTAGTGCAACAGTGGTTTTTATATCACTGCAAGGAGCAAAAACCGACTCTACAATCACCAGATTTGAGCCCCATAGAACATTTACGGGATATCGTCCAGAAATGGACAACATGTCCTCGAAGGAATCCCTAAAAACCGCATTAATACCTGAATGGAATTCAACCGATGCTGACGAGACGAGCAACTTTATAAAAAGGATCTGTCGACGTTTATAAGCTTCCATTAAGGCCAACAAAGGACCCACTAATGATTAAAGTCTTTAAATCTTTGGAATTGTTGTTTTTTTTCCACATTTTATGAAGTGTACGAATAATTTTTGTGCGTAAAAAAATGACATTTTTGCGTTATTAAGGAAATTATCTAGTATTTAAGTAAAAACTTGTTATTTTATGTTTAAAATATATTCTCGAAATGTGTATCTTTCATTTGAGATATTACATAAAAATAAACTTCCAACTCATGGGTGTACGAATAAGTTATGTGCCGACTGTATCTATCCGTTTACAAAAACAGCATATTAAAATCGGAGCAGTTGATAAGCTAATTCACATACATCTAATACATCAAACAGTTCACGATTTACTTATGTAATTTAAATTAGTTATTTTTTGTCATATTATTTTGGCAATTAGACGAATTTAACTCTGTAATATTTAAGGTAAATAAAAGTGGTCGAAGTAGCTTAGGTCTTAATTTATTTTTCAAAAATGCATTTTTTGAAAGTGGCTCACATACGAAGGCCAAAGAGAGATAAAGGATTCTATAAGAATCGATTCTATTCTAAAGAAAGATAACAGATTTTATAACATCTTGTATCTCTCTTTAGTCTTCCAGTGGTCAAAGGAAAAAGCGCCAAATTGGTTTGGCATAAGGGCCCAGTCCAATAGCTAAATGATATTACCAAAAACATTAAAGTTAAAAAATTTCGGGTTCCATAAACAAGTATCCTGAAAATTCTGAAAGCAGAATCAGTCCTTAGCATTTGGAATTGCTCGCCAAAAGCTTTAGCGCTCGCGGCGATACATTTCTTGATTTCCCTTTTCCGCTTTATTCTGTCACCAACTGCTATAGAATTTAGTTTATTTCGCACTTAGCAGGTCAGTAAACTTTCACTTTTCTTTTATTTGTAAAATGTTCTGCCGTAAGACGATTTTGAGCACTCCTGCCTTAAACGAATAGCAATTAATGTAATAAACAACTACCTAAATTCATAATTTTTCATCTGCTGTCCATTTTTTCAATTTACATGTTTTAAACAGCCGGTACATGCTTACAAACAGTATCATTAAAATTAAGAATGCTGATCCAATAACAAACGATAGGGTAAAGTGTATTAGTTGTATCTCTTAGCGTTCATACGGACAGACGAACATGCCTCAATCTACTTCGCTATTGATCCTGATCAAGAATATATATACCTTATATGGCTGGAAACGCTTCCTTCTACCTGTTACTTACTTTTGAACGAATCCAATATACCCTTTTAATCTACGAGAAACATGTATAAAACCCCAAGATTTTCAGATCTTTGAGTTTCCGCATATTTTGGGCATTGGAGTGGGCATGAAAGCATGGTGAAAAAATAATATGGATTGAGGGTATCGTTAGAAACTAAATTCTTAATCCCAACATTCTTTCACGTATAGTTACCTTTATATCAGTGTATTCAAGAAACCGGCTAACGTTTTTCGATGCGCTGGCATCTTATTAATAGTTCCTGAGCTATCAACGATTTCAGTTTTTGTCATTTGTGGGCGTTATAGTGGGCGTCGCCAGATAAAATTGAAAATAAAACCTTGAGCTGCGGTGGCATCTACAGAATATGCATATTTGATGCTAACTTTCTAGCTCTTATAGTTTTCTTTTCACCGTAGCTTTAGATCTTTTCTCGATGGTCTGAAAAGTTTTCGTCCTGAAAACAACAAGAAAGCCAGTTCAGTTCACTATTATCTTCTTGATCATCGTTTGGCCAAATATTTTCGGATTGGCCATTGAGGTTCATTTTTTCGCTGAGGCATGGAAAACTATGCTTGATTTGGTTGTAAGGTTGGATTCTCTTATCACGGCTTGATGGGGTAAATAATATCTTCCTGTTTTTATTCTACCATGTGTCCCAAGTTAATATATTTATGCATGATATTCATGAAATTTTCTTTAAGTTTCGCATATTTGTTTAATTCTCTTTCTTAAATTTAAACTCCAAAATCTTTATCATTATACCCGTTACTCGTAGAGTAAAAGGGTATATTAGATTCGTTGAAAAATATGTAACAGGTAGAATGAAGCGGTTCCGACCATATAAATAATATATGTATATTATAAATTAGGATTGATAGTGAAGTCGATTAAGCCATGTCCATCAACCTGTCCGTATGAACACTTAGGTCTCAGGAACTATAAGAGATACAAAGTTTGGTATAATGCATGCAGATTCTTGAGATGCCTACGCAGCGGAGGTGTATTTCAGCATCCTACCACACCTACTCTACCGCCCATAAATCACGAACTAAAATCGCTAAGATCTCAGTAAATATTAGAGCAAGAATGTTCGAATTACGCACGTTTAATCGTGAAATACTAATAAAATATACAAATTATTTTGGTTTGGAAAAGATAACGTTAAGCAGAACAATAAATAACAGTATAAGAAAAGATGACCACGTGTTGTCAAAAGCAATTAGATAATTTATATTCGTACCAAAATTATTTACACATCTATTTTAATTGACTGTCCAATTTTGATTGAATTTAAACAAAATATTTTATATTCGTATACTTACGTCACTTAGTAACGTGTTTCTCCACCATTGGAATTAATAACTGCTATGAACCT